GATCGAGTCCGAGATCGAGTCCGAGACCGAATCCGAAGTCGGATCCGAAATCGGGTCCGAGATCGAGCCAGAGACTAAGTCCAAATACTAATACGGGTCAAGGGGTGAAAGCCCAAAGCGTGCGTCTCCCAGGGGGGGGGGAGGGGCTGCAAGGGGTTCCAAAAGTATAGTAGGGATAGTGAGGTCTAGGAACCAGTTTTGAAGGGACTCTCCAGTGGGGCTTCCAAACCGACTTGAGGTTGAGACTGGGACTGAGAGGCCTTGGGTGGGAGTGAGCATGGACTTGGCTGGTGTCGGAGGGGCCATCCAAGGAAGTGCTCAAGAGTAGCTCCCACTCCCGAAAGGGAAACCGATTGCGGTGCTCCCGGCTCATGTGGAGTGGTGCCCCACTTGAGTACCATGCGGCTCATTGGTCCTCGCCCTTCCTAGGGGCTTGGGCCGTCATTCGGGATGGAAGTGGGGGGGTAGAGGTACCCATACCGGGCCGCTAGGCCACGGTGTTTCGCCCCGGCGTCCCGAAGCAAGTGTTGCACTCAAGACTTGGGATTTAAAGGGTCCCATGATCAAGTCTTGTGGTACCAAGGGAAGTTAGGAACCTAAAAGCTTGGTGTGCTTGGCTGCTTGGGCTTGCAGGGAGTGTAGCCGAACCTTAAGTCTAGTTTAACCCGGGGAGGGGGATTGGGAGTGATTTGGGAATCCGTGGAAGGATGGCTAACACCCCGTTGCTTGTGCAGTGAGTAGCTGAAACCAAGTAGGAGCTGGTACTATAGGCGAGAACCTTGGCAAGGGAACTTAGCAAAAGCCAAGGCAATGTTGGACGGATAGACGAGGTAAGCTGGCAAATTGGAAAAGAAAAATTTGTGGCTTACACTTGAGTCAATGGCTTGCACTTGCTAGTATCAAGAACCCTCGCGATATTGAGATTGGTCCCTCAATATCGCTAGATGATAGCTTACCATGTCTGCCAAACACCCTTGCTATCATGCCCTTTGTGTTAGACTTATTTCGGTCCCAAATGCTATTTATGGAAAGTGTCCAGATTTGCTCATTTGGCATATTTACAAAATGTAGAGATTATTCTGAACACAATGGTGTTTGTCCCGTGTCCCGTGTGGCTTGGGTCTAAGCCCAAGTTCCATTCCATGCTAGCTGGTGGAGTACCTATATCCTCACGTTAAGCCACCGGTATGCTGAATCAACACCAGACTCCATTTGGCTATGTTTTGTGTGTTGGTCTTGACATTGGGATGTTAGTTGCTCCAAGACTATTCCAAGTCGCTCCGGGCTTCTGTCCCTTTGCTCCTTGGGCTGTATGCTCGGGAGTTGCTCCGTGGTTCGGTTCTGTCACTCCCTGGCTCCATGCTTGGGAGTTTGGCACTGTTCTTTTGTTCAGTGGCCCAAGGCCTTGAACCGAGGGTTCCACACCGTATTCCTTTGGACACGTGGCATGTGACACATGGCACAAAGAGGGTTTAGGTTCCGCTTTGTGGTGTTATCCTATGGTAAATCACCATAGGATAAAGGGTAAAAACCACGTGCACTACACTCGGTCTCGGACTCTGTCTCAAATTTGGTTTTGAACTTGGTCTCGATCTCGATCTCAGAGTCGGCCTTGGACTCGATCCTAGACTCTGTCTCAAACTCGGTCTCAGAGTCGGTCTTGGACTCGATCTCAGACTCGGTCCCATCCGATAAACTCTTTATCATTTTGGTCGTGCTTTCAGGATCCTTTAGCCTTTGACACCTCGGGGAGCTAGTGTAAGCAACCAAAGGGAACGACTCGAGAGACAGTCCATGGGGTTTAAATATAGAGGGAAAGGGCCCATGAATAAGAGTGCACCTCCTTTTCCAATCGGTTAAGGGTCTTGGGATACTTGGGGTTAAGCATCTTTGGGTTTGAATAGTATTGGGTTGGGTGACCTTCCGGGAAGTCCAAATTCAGGAGCTTACATTTGGTATCAGATGGAGGTTAGGTTCGACTCTGTTGGTTGGCTAGGGGAATCACACCACATGTTGATTGACATTTGGCTGGTCCAATTTGCTCCCGTTGGGCTCGATCCGAGGGGTAGGGTGTCAAGAGAGCGAGGCTCTCGGGAGAGCTGCAGCTCTCATCTTCCGTTCACGAGGGCGTGAACTTGCAGGGAAGCATGGTGGATTGTAAGCAACCAAAGGGAATGACTCGAGAGACGGTCCATGGGGTTCAAATATAGAGGGAAAGGGCCCATGAATAAAAGTGCACCCCCTTTTCCAATCGGTTAAGGGTCTTGGGATACTTGGGGTTAAGCATCCTTAGGTTTGAATAGTATTGGGTTGGGTGACCTCCCGGGAAGTCCAAATTCAGGAGCTTACAGCTGGTTCTTTACACTTATGTCATTGGTTTACACTTGTTAGTATACAAAACCCTGTGATATTGAGTTTGGTCCTTCATATATTCACTAAATAATACCTTACCATGTTTGCTAAATACCTTTGATATCATACACCTTGTGTTAGTTCCATTTGGTCTTAATTACTATTTATGGAAAGTGTCTAGATTTGCTAATTTTGCATATATATATAGAATGTAGAGATTGTTTTGAACACAATGATATTAGTCCCATGTCCAAATTTGCAATTTAGCACCATTCTATATATAATAATTTTTTAATTAATCACTAAGACTAACTCTTGGTACTAAGGATGGCTAAGGGTGAAAGCCCAAAGTATGCATTCCTTAGGGGGTGGGTGTGGGGGGTGGGGTGGTTCCAAATATATAGTAGGGATAGTGGGTATGTTGGGCATAGCTGACGAACTTGAGGTATAATTTAACTCTTGTTTACATATCTATCCTTATTCTATATCTAGCTTGGGTCTAAGTCCAAGGTCCATACCATACTAATTGGTGGAGTACCCATATCCTCGCGTTAGGCCACTAGTATATTGAAATAGTGCTAGACTCCATTTATCTCCGTTTTGCATGTTGGTTCTAGCATTAGAATGCTAAATGCTCTAAGACTATTCCAAGTCACTTCATGCTCCTGTCTTTTTTCTTTTTGGGTTGTATGTTCGAGAGTTGCTCTATGCTCTAGTTTCGTTGCTCCTTGGCTCCATGCTTAGGAGTTTGGTTCTATTCCTTCATTTAGTGGCCTAAGGCCCTGAAATTTGGGTTCCACTCTGCTATTTTTGGACACATGGCATGTGGCACATAACATGTGACATGTAGCACATAAAAGGTTTAGGTTTTGCTTCGTGATTATCCTATGGTAAATCACCATAAGATAAAAGGTAAAAACTATATGCACTACACCCATATCCCAATGGGACTAATGCAAAAACTAGATGTGCCACCCTTTTAACAAGCTACTCTATGTGATTGTCTTACATCTCAAGTCCTAAAATAGAAGTAGTCATGGTCATTTCTTTTAGATTATGTTGATATCCAAATCTCCACCTCAAGCCAAATGTAAAACAAAGGTAGAAAGATGTCACTACCAGCAAATCTTATTATTGTCCACTCTCCCAAAACACAGAAGCTATTTGTTCCTCCACCACTCTAGTCGATTAAGTTTTGCTTATTCTTTCAAGATGGCATAATGGAGGCACACCACTGCAAGAGTGAGTCTCCATCATAAGGCCACTATTACATATATCCTCACTTATTGTCTGTCAAAATGATAGTAATTATGTGCTTCCCAAAGTGCTTACACTCTTGTCATTCTCTAGATATCCCAACACTCGTGGCCTATTGCCTCCCAAACTAGCATGCCAACTTTAGCTCTTGCCATGTCTTACCAGACTTGCATTCATTTGTGCCATCCTTGACACTAAATGCATTTCCAAGCCAGATTAATGGCTGAACCTCTTACTCCTTTGAACCTGTGGAGAATATCCCTAAAATGTTTCATAATTCTTGTGTCACCTTGAGAATTTGTTACAGTCTAAACCCTAATTAATATATCTATTCCAATATCCTGAACACTCATAATAATAGACATTATTTTAAATAATATTTTCTAATAAAATTAAATTATTATTTCTATATCATTGTTTGATGAGCAAAGAATGTGCTCCAATCCATCCAAGAAAAGGGGAGGATGGTGTATAATAAGAGTATAATAAACTAGAGATTCAATCCATGCTTTAGCCAGAGGTCTTTGATTATGTAGTGTGCTCTCACAGCTGCTATTGCCATCAGCGGCCCTCTACGCATCCCTCCTCCGCTGCTGTGGCATCTCCAGCTCGCTCGCCGACGGCTGTCGCGTCCACGAGGCCCTGTTGTGATCTTCCATCCTCTGGAACACCGCAAGTGCTTCCTCCGTGCTGCCACCCTTCGCGTACATCGAAACGAGCACATTCTGGATTGTGATGTCTCCATGGAGGCCCAGGTTGATCATGGCGGCGTGGATCTTCCTAGAAATTCCCTGCTGGAGCACGCAGTGATTGCCACGACGAAGGTCACCGGATTGGGCTGGACGCGAGCTTGGATCATCCCCTTGAGCGTCTCCAGTGCCTGGCGGCAATCCCCAATCTGGGCCAATGCGGTGATCATCGCAGTCCACGACACTACATCCTTGTGCGGTATCTGATCAAACACCGCCCTGGCCTGCTCGATCGCTCCACACTTGGCATACATGTTGAGAAGCGCTGTGCCGACGAACACACTCTTGCGGAGATCCGGGGAGAGAATTCTCGCGTGGATGACCATGCCCAGCGCGAAATCCTTGGCACACGCAGCCAGTGTGCTCACGATCACCATTTAGTGGTTCCACATCCATGCGCTGGAGGAGATTGATCGCCTCGCGGCAATAACCCGACTGCACGTAGGCCGCGATGATGCAGCTCCAAGACACCACATCTTTCTTGGGCATCTGATCGAAGACTGCAGGCATGGCCGCGAGGCTGCTGGTGCCACCACATTTCCTGTACATCTGGATGAGGAGATTACTGAGGCGCTCTGGAGGAAGTGGCCTGTGGCGAGGATGTGACAGCATGATCGCGGCCACACACAGTCTTGCACGGCGATGGGCCTCTTCCATGGCATGAACTTGGAAGGGATCAAGCCCGACGACGTGAGCTTTCTGGGAGCTCTAAGTGCCTGCACGAGCCCTGGGTGCTTGCGATCGTGCAAGCGGATCCACTCGCAGCTGGAGCTCGCCGCGGTGCACTCTCCTCCAGATTTGAGCTTGGAGAACTCGCTTGTCACTGCCTACGCCAAGTGTGGAGATCTAGAGGCCACCGAGAGGATTTTTCAGAGAATCCCAGGCAAGAACGTTGTGTCCTGGACGGCCATGCTCACTGCTACACATTTCACGGCAATGGATCCAAAGCTCTCGAGCTCTACGACAAGATGGTCGGGCAGTCGATCCAGCCGGACAGCGTGGTGCTGCTCAACGTACACCGGATCACTGGTCGGGGACGTCGGCCTCGCGAGAAAGCTCCATGCTCGCGTTGCTTCCTCCAGCTTCGTGCTCAAGATCCAGATCCAGAATGCGTTCATCAACATGTACGCACAGTGCGGCAGCCTGGAGGAGGCAAGGTGGGTGTTCGATGGGATTGAGAAGAAGAACTTGGTGTCATGGAACGCGATGATGGGATCTTATGTGCAGCATGGATACGTTGAGGAAGCAATTGCATTGTTGCTGGGAACTCGAGGACCATGGAGTCCGGCTTGAGGTGCTCGGTCTCTGCGAGCTCGGACTCTAGTTTGTACACAAAGAGTGTGAAGAGCTCGGACTCCACTAACACCTCGGCCTCCACCATCTCGGACTCCATTCTAAAGCCCGATTGCATCATGGCCGTCATTCTCCTGTGTGCCCACGCCAGCCTGGGCAAGCTCGCCGAGGGGCGGCGCATCCACGCTGAGCCATGCGCCGCGAATCCGGAGATTCTCGCGGGCCACGACCAACGTCACCCTGGCAATGCGCTGGTTAGCATGTATGCGCGCTGCGGCAGCATGGGAGATGCCGTCGTCGCCTTCCACCTCATGAGAGCCTGCCACACGGTGACTGGAGTTCCCTGGTGGCGGGATACGCCCACCACAGCCTTGCCGAATATGTCATCCTCCTCTACTGTGACATGCACCTCGAGGGCATCCAGCCCGACAGTGTCACCTACGTCAGCGTCCTCAACTCGTGCAGCCATGCATTTCTTCGAAGTGCATGGTGGACGTGCTGGGGCAGACGGGGTTTGTCGGGCGGGCGGAGGACGTGGTGAGGAATATGCCGTTCCAGGTGGCGTGGAACACGCTGCTGGGCTGCAAGGTGCACAGGGACGTGCGGTGGGGGGCTGTGGCAGCGTGGAACGCGGTGGGGATTAGCCCGGGTTTTCCGTGGTCAACGGTGCTGCTGTCCAATATGTAACGCTCAAAATTGTCAACATTATCTGGTCAGCGTTCTTATTACTAGAGAATGCACAAAAGTTCAACCTGGACAGTGATATCAGTCAATTTTCTACAATTTGCAGCCCCTGTTGGATTCTTGTTGGGATTTTTCTTTTGTTGCAGCTCTTGTTTGCCACATACCATGAATGCCAGGAGCATGGTTTTAAAGAAATGCTTCCAGTGGACACAACCAGTGCGTCCATATTCTGGAAAAAGCTGGAAGAGACCACACAAAATAGTAGTCAAAGTTAATCACATGGATTGTAGTGAAAAAAAAGTAAAAACTTATCTTGAAACAAGTGCCTCCTATTTTTCTAAATCGTCATTGCAAGCATTTACAAAGCTTTGGAACGTTGGAGAAATCCCGGGACTTTTTTCCTCGAGCTGGATCACCGTGTCCAATCCTTCCACCCATCGATTTCTTCTGTAAGCCTTGGCGATATCTTCCACCACCACCGGCGATGCCAAACTCATCTCCCTGGCTAGCATCGCCCCCACTGGAGCTCGTCGAGACGATCCAGCCACGAGTATCCAACGAGCAACGCGTTGTAGCTCTCCTTGCTAAGTTCCTCCTCCTCCTCCTCCATTTCCCCATGTGTCTTGTCGAAATCCTCTGGCATTCCCATCTTCGAGTAGCCGCAGAGGAGAGTGTTGTAAGAAGCTCTCGAAATCTCTCACGTAGCTCTTCTTGTCCAAGATCGCCTCACGCGCCCCCATGGACGAAGCATTCTCGACCCGCAAATATGTTAGCTCAAAATAATCACATGGAAGAAGCAAAATGGTTTATTTATCACATGTCATTCAAAAATATTGAAAAAATGTTTTCGGCTTGGAGGGCAGTATTATCAGGCTGTAGGGAATGCACAAATTCTGAGAATTTTAAAGTGGCTCAGTTAGCATTTAAAGTTATTGTAAAAGCTGATAAAACTGATGCAATGATGCAAGATATTTACGAAACATTAAGTATGTTCATAGAAAAGCAAGGGACAGAACGTGAAAGGAAAGAACAAAAGGCATTGAAAAAACAAGGAGTAAGTTTCTGGAGTGATGATAATGGCAAAGTACATGAATTTTGGCCAGATTTGAGATGTGGAAATAAGGAAAATAAGTTGACAGAGTATGGAGGTTGTATGCACAGCAAATTAAAATATCTAAAGTATGCTTTTGGGCGTACTAAACCTGAGAAAGTAATTCTTATCATAAAATTCACTAGAATGTGTATCAATTGCCATGAAGAGATCTTTCTCAGCAAAGGAAAGGCATAATCACAGTCAACAATTGTCACTTCTTCCAGAATGGTAACACCTAAATAGTTTAAATTATATAATAATACAGAGTTTACAGGACGTGCTGTTCAAAGTGGGAGGTATCAATACACAGCCAGTACTCAACTCCAAATATAAAGAAATTTGAACATGCATTTAAAAAGTAATAACACTATCAGATATCAGAACATAGTAAAGCACACTTGTGTAGCAATCAGAGTCAAACATTCCAAAGAAGCAGCTAGTCAGACCATGCTATCATTGTTATGATGAAGCAGCTCCGTTCTGTAGCACTGCTTGCAATTATTCATTGAAGAAGGAAGAAGAGTTGCTTGGGTATGAGATAAATACTTGAAAAGGAGCTTTGAAACATTGTAGAACTTCTACTCAGGAAATGGATGCAACTTGCAATGTTTAAAAAGGAACATGCAGAGACTTGCCGCTAGCTGGATTGATGTTGGCAGATTTGTGATGTTGTTTGTTGTGCTGTATTCTTGTGGAGACGACCATTGCCTTCTGGAAGAGCTGTGAGAACGTCTAGCTAGCCCTAAACCCTAAACGGTTAAGCGGATTGATGCTTCGATATTGTTGTTCAAAGGATGCAAAGTACAACTACCAGCCAAATGATACTTGTGAGGGCTTCCAGCAGATACTTAGTCAAGTGGCTTTCTTTTCACTTACAAATCATGGGGATAGTTTTTGATAATGAGAGCTTAGATCAGGGTTTGGAACAAATAGTTGGAAATCCTGTCAAAGTTTATCAATAGCTCTTGTGAGTGCTATCAACTAGCCTGCATATGTTGTATGTCATCATGCATTTTTAATGGCGAAGAATTTGTTTGTTTTGTCTCAAGATATTTGGATATGCTTTTTATACTTGAATCTTCTGCTTTCTTTAAATTTTGAATTTTCATATTATTTAGAACTAAAGATAATATATTTCTTGGTTTTTGGTGTGCCGCTGCTGCGAGGAAAGCCGTCCAATCTCGTCAATAACCGTCTTTGCTAGATAACTTTATAAATATGTATAGACTGTCTATAGTATATAGCAGAGATGTATATATAGAGTTTATACAGTAACTATCTTAAAAAACTATATTTGTTGTTTTCACAAATTAATCTTCTTTACTGGAAACATTTATTTAAGTTTCAAAATATCAGAGTTATGGTAGATATGTTTATCTTGGTTAGAATTTATAATTTTTAAAATTTTGATTTTAAGTTTGCTATCAATTTTAGAACTAGTCTAAATTTTGGTGTGTAATGGATTTAGTTAATGTAGTGTAGCCTTTTTGTCATTGAAAAAATTAGTAGAAGGTTATATCATCTATAGTTTTGGTCATGGATATGAATTCTTTTTTAAAAAATGAAGCTAATAATCAATAATATATTTAAAAATTACATAATACTATTATAAATAATGATTAAATTATATATATATATATATATATATATATATATATATATATATATATATATATGTAAAAAAAGATAAACGCAATAGAAGATAATGCAGTTATTTTAGATATATTAATGTATCTAAATAAATTACCTTCTATGATACTTTGGGCTTCCACAATAATAAAAATATGCAATCATTATCAAAAGAACTGTTAGCATTAGTTTTAACCTTAAAACCCATTTACACTTGATAGCTTTTTGTTTGTGGAACTAATTATCAAGCACCTTTTATAAGCACAATGTTATAAATGGGCAATGTCAAAACTCCTTCCAAGGTAAATGCCACACTCGTCCCCCGTCGAAGCACCTGGAAAACATACACAATTTAGTTTGGATGATCAGAGAATCACAGCATATCTCAATATAATTCTTGTAGTTGCATTTTCTGTCTGGGTTCGTTATAGGAGCCTGAGGATTGTGAATGCACATGTACTTGTGTCTTCCAACCTATTTGAATCAGAAATTTTTGATATATTCTTGAGCCAAGGGGGCTGGTGTGCATGGATTTTCCAGCGTTGTTGAGAACAAGAATTTGATGACCAACAAACACCCCAGGGTTTACAACATACACACATCTCTCATACACTAGAAAAACATATACACTTCCTTGATCAATCACAACATGAAAGAGTTCGACTATCTATATAGCCGCAACATTTATGTAATTTTTATTTAAAATATTTTTTTCATTCATTTTTTAAGCTTCTATACATATTTTTATATACATATTTGGATAGAACTTTAACTCCATAATATTTATAAGTATAAGCTCTAAGCTTTCACCACGAACCCTAAAATTTCCAGAGAAAGCCCTAATAATCTATTGATCTGACGGCTGTCGTTGGTTGAACGGTGACGATTGTTTCCAAAGACCTAATGTTAGGGTTTTTACGGCGGCGAGAAAGCTATGGACGCCTCTTCATCTAGAAAGCGAGAGCCGGATGAGGAGAAGATAAAGCGACTTAAAACAGGTGAGATTGTTCATGTGAAACGTCGTCTGCAGCTGGCACGTAAGGAAATTTCACGCCTTGGAATCAAATTGTGGGAAGCCGGGGAGGATGCCGAACTAAAGGAGCAGATAGCCTCAGAGAAAGTGCGGGCGAGTCAACTCCAGGATGATGTGTCGAAACTGGAACGCGAGCTCTCTGAAATCCTCCAGCCGCCACCTGAATACTGGAAAAGAGTGGAGGGTATTGCCGAATCAGCATTTGCGCAGGAGTACCAAAGAGTTGGGGGATTAGACAACGTGGAGTCGTTGCGTGAGAAGCTGGAAGAAACAGGAGACATGTGGAAGACGAAGAAAGCCATGATAGCACCTGTTGTCACGTTAGTTCAGTCGAGTGGCTGGGGAAAGTCGAGGACTACCTGCGAGCTTGCGAATTTAGGTGTGTTCGTCATCTACTGCTCATTCGCTTCATCTGGCACCGCATACCCTCCAAGGTCTGCCTTTGCGGACTTCTTCTACACAAACGCCGTCAAATTGCTCAGCTCGGGTTCTACGTTGTCGCAGAGCAGGTTCATGCTCTTCTGCATTGACTACTTTGTGTCATGCATCGAGGCTCTTCTG